AAAAAAAAAAAAAAAAAAAAAAAAAAAAAAAAAAAAGACAGTTATACAGCTAGTTTCTCTTAGTTCCTTGAAAAGAATGTTCTGTGCTAATATTGTTTAGACAAGATATCACGCTGTATTTTGTACTGTGATTGACTATGAAGACAACAATATGCAATGTATCAACTATTGTTACTGTCCTAGGAACCTGTTTCAAAACTCAGTTTCATTATTTACCTTTTAAAAAATCATTTTCCATGACTACATAATAATATAATTGTGGATTATTATAATTATTTAAACATACAAGGGACCTTTCTCTTTCTAACTGTTAGCAACCCTGCAGCAAATGCCAGTGAGAATGACACTTTTATGGCAATTTAGAAATCTTTATGGAAAAGATATTTAAAAATGAAAATTCTAGTGCTGGGAATTTCTGTATTGTTTTGTTTTTGTTTGTTTTTTGAGACAAGGTTTTGCTATGTGGTTTAGGCTTATTTTGAACTCACTACATATTCCAGGCTGGCATCCTTCTGCCTCAGCCTTCTCAGGGCTGGGATTACAGGTGTGTGCCATCACATCTAAGGATTTTTGTATTGCTAAGAGTTTTAAAAATACTGCCACATAGCTTTCAAGGAAATTTGTATGAATATTTTCTTCTAACAACAGAAAATGAGAATACTCATTTCCTCAAATATTCACCGATCCACCTGTTTTACTTGAATTTATCTTGTTTATTACCAGTGAAGTTGAACACCTTTCCATATGTTTTTCTTAGTCATTTAACATTTTTTGCTTGTTGTATGTCTTGTCTTTTGCTATTTATTCATATATTTGTCTTCCTTATTTGTAATTTCTGACTTTAAATTGTTACTTATAGTTATTGCAAATATAATTTGTTTTTAACATATAATTAATTCAGATCCAGAACAATAAAAAGATAAAGAGATCTTTAAGAAGTTACTTTATAATATAGCTTTCAAAATGAAAAATATTATAATATATTAAAAATAAGTGATATTCTTCATAGCTTAATTAAAACAACACTTGAGTTCACCATAGAATTATGCATTCCTTTATAATTCACAGTTTGTATTATTGGAATAGCACTTATTATAGGGCTTTGGATTTGAAGAGGTGAATTCACAGGTCATCAAAAGCGAAAAAAATTCTGTAAAGCAAAGAGTGACTGACTTTTCATTCTCCTAAGTAAGCATAGAGAAGTTAAAAAAAAAAAAACAAAAGCTTTGATTTACTATCACTGTCATTTCTTCAACAAAAGGCTATTTCCCAGTAAAGTATGAAAGGCATAAGTTTAAAGTAGTCTTTCAAATAAAATCAATTTCTTTTGGTAACACTTTACTGCATGGCTCTTCTTTTCCCGGTCTGCATGACTGACTGTTGGAAATCTGTCGCCCTGTGTGGTCCCTGCCGGCAGACTGGCATTGGGAACCAACACCAGGGAAAGATAACCGGCATCTTCCCTAGAGAACAAGGGTGGGATGTTCATTTGTGGATCCTCAGGAACTCAGTAAATATTCAAAGTAAATGTTCACAGTATTTCCACTTCTGAAGTCAGGTTTCTCTGTTCCAATATTTTTTGTGCATCAGTTTAAAAATCTATCTTAAATTACAGTACAGTTCAATTTATAAATGTTAAGACCCATAATAATGTATTTAAATTTTCTCAGAAATACTAATTCATTCTCTAAATATAAATTAGCTATCTCTAGATGTCAGAAGCACCTTAACAACCGAGTTCTCATTCGATAAAATAAGATGGGGAAATACTGTTCAATAAAACATTAAGGGTATAATCTAATCTAGGGTTGCAATTAGCCATACACATTTGCCACTCTCTAGTCAACTCCAACTGTAGTGGGATTATTTTCAGAGAAAAAAGAATGTTGAAACTTTCTTTTCCTGAGAGTGTAGTTAAGGCAAATAAATGAGAGACATGCCGCTGAGTATATACCTTGTTTACAATGTTAAAATATTCCATCAGAACAATACAGTATGTCTGTTTAGTTTTCCACTATTTGTGAAGCCCAGTCCTTCCTCCATATATCAAAATCTTAGGTTGATTATATATAATATAAGGCCAAGATGATGAACACTGCAGTAATAAAACATTTTCTTTCTCCTATGCAGTAGAACCAAATTAACTCATTTACATAAGAAGCACAAAGATCATAGAAACTGTCCATATCAGATACACACCTAAGAGAAATGTTAGCAAAAGTGAGATCTCCCCAGAAAAAGTACAGACTTAGAAGACAGGAACTCCAAATGCGTGATTTAACTAGAGCATAACATTTTGTATGTGACAGGTAGGAAGTACAAGAGAAAGGGAAGTGAAAACCTGGATAACAAGCAGAAGGGAAGAAGAGACAATGTTAGATGTGAAATGGTAAGACAGAAAATGAAGAAGAGGCCGGGGATATAGCTCAGTGGTACAAGCGCCTGCCTGGAAAGTTTAAGGTCCTGAGTTTGAGTCCTGGTAAAAAAAAAAAAAAGAAGAAGAAACAGCAACTCATAAGAGGGAATAAAAGAATAGTGGGAAAATAAGAGCAAAAAGAAATAGAAATGGCACTTATGAAAGGACACTTTAAAACTAAATCTGAGAAGTTATTTTAATGTATTTAATGTAGCTAGAAATCAGATATGAACACGGGTATATTTTTGGTTCACAAATGAAAAGACCTGCTTCAGAGAAATAACAAAATATAGTGTGCATATGCTTTCTTATTTGGGCTGTATAATTTTGCATATGGTATATATGAAGCCATAATTCTAAAAGTAATTTTTTCATTATTTCATTTTACTTAAAATATTTTCAAAAAACCCAAAACTGTCCTTTCAAAGGAATAGTTTTTTAAAAGTAGCACTTGTTCCACCTTATCTTTTAGTTTTATGATTGTTTTTGCTCTGCCCAGTGTTTTTAAAAAAATATTAAACTTGGCATATTGTTTGACTGTATTCAAGCTACGCAATGTGATTTGGGACACACTGAGTAATGACTACTACAATCTCATTAACACAACCATCGTCACCCATGCTGTATGTCAGATGCCAGGACCAATTCACCTGACAACTGAGATTTTATACCTTTTAGCCACCATCTCTTCCTTTCCTCCAGCTCTTAGGCTATGGGAACCACCATTCTATTCTTTGCTTTCAGAAGTTTGGATTGTTTTAGACTTCCAAAGGACAGTTCTTACCAAGTGATATACATCATCTAAACAAGTCAGTTCATTAAAGCTGATGTTCAGTTTCCGAAGTCCGGTTAATTTGGAGAGATCTCGCAGTTTACTCAAGCTGTTACCATGTAGATTGAGACTCTGAAGTGAAAAAAAAAAATTATATATATATAAATTAAAAAATAAAATAATTACTTTCTACATCTTACCTAAGTGTGAATATCTAACATGTTTAGAACAATTACTTGAGCCAATATGATATATATTAAGAAAGTTATTTTAAATAACATTAAGAAAATGTCAATATAAAAAAACTTCTAATAATGTGTGACATTAAAACAATAAGAATAGTTTATACTATCTTTGCTGGACCTGGTTCTTAAATGTAATTTCCCACTTGGCCTAAGTTTACAAATAATTGGCATGACACTCTTTCTAGATAATAGATGAAATATTAGGATGGCTCTATTTCTCACACTAACCTGTGAACCATGGGAGCCCTTGAGAATTTGGGTGTCTCACAAGAAATCTCACAGGAGAGAGATAGCAAAGCTACACCCTGATTGCAGGAAGTGAATAAGGGCACGAGACCCAGGAAGAAAGGCTGTGAATGGTGAAGTCAGAGGACAGAACATCAGAGGAGGAAGGGGCGAGAGTCGGATACCACACCCATCTATGTCAGAACATGGCCCAGACGTTCCCGTCCACTGCATCCTCGGTTACATGAAAATGAATGTTATCACATTTTTCTATTTAAGGGTGATCCTGGTGCCTACATAGTTTTCTGCCTTCAAATAGCTGTGAATGGTATGGAGTGAAGACTGTATTCAATGATAGTACAGGAAAAAACAATGCCCCAAGAAAATGTGTTAATACAATTGACTATGGTATTTTCAGCAAGTGGGGATTATCATTATAAAATCAGGGGACTATTCTCAGTCATCTTCACTTACCAACGTCATCTTCCACTATGGACATAACTACATTCTGCAAAGGAAGAAACAACTAAATTTCTAGTAGCAAGCAAAATCAGCTAGAATTGTAAAGAAGGGGCAAGTTATGCAGACTAGATATCTTGTAAGTCACATATGAATATCATCCATGGTAAGTTTCTACAGATACTTTACATTTCACATGTCTACAACTGAATTACTCATCTTCCCTTATATGCTTGCTTGGTGGCCTATATTTTTATTCTTGATTAAGAGTTTTATGATCTAGGGCTGGGGATATAGCTCAGTGGCACAGTGCCTGTCCGGCAAGCACAAGGTTGTGAGTTCGATTCCTGGTACCAAAAAAAAAGTTTTATTATCTAACTTGACACATTATTGACCAGCTTTTTTTCCATATGCAGTTGATTATAGAAATGTTTCTCAAACCACCTGCTATATTTCATCACCACTACTGGTCCATTAGTACAGACAATATGATGTCTCCTTTGTATTACCACAATATAGTAATTTTCTACTGGGCTTTCGTACCAACAGTCAGACATTAGTTAAATCCATCCATTAGCTACCAAGGATCTTTAAAAACAGTCTGTTCCTTAAAGAAAGGGCTCTACACTCTAAATACAGCTTCCAAAACCCATCCTAGTGTGGCTGTTATCTTCTCTTCCAGATCAGCTTCCTATGTCTTCCTTTAATTCCAACCTGTATCTTGACCTTCAACTGTCACAATCCTGTTTCCTGCTCACACTGAATTTATCAGTGGTCCTCAAGGACACCAGTATCCTTCAAAATCATGTGCCCAGAGATAGAGTGTTTTCTCTGTCTAAAAGATAAGCAACCAAATTTCTCATATCCTGCAATAATCCACTCAAAACTCACCTCTGTGAAGTGCTCTCAGCAACTCCAAGGTTCCTACCTTTGTTAACAAATCTCCTCCACTGCACTGATGTTGAGGTAGGGAAAATAATGTTTTCACTTTAAAACCCTAATACTTTATTGCCCAAGCCATAGTGAATTCCTAGAAAATTATAAATCAATTCAAAGCCAGACTTATAACTGACAAGTCTAATTTTTACCATTTAATTATGCTATGAAAGAATATAAAATTCTATGTTTTAGATGATGGAGCTTTTATTTCTATTATTTGTTTTTAAGGATATCCTCACAACACTCAGTCTAGTGGGGAAGATAAAAGAAAACACAAGAAACATGCCCTTCATTGCTCTTATAGTAATGGCACGAAGGAAGGAATGCAAAGCCTATAATACCTAACCATTCTTGATGCAGTGCCTAGTATTCTTCCTAAAAACTGTAGAAAATTTGCTGGCTTTTAAGCAACACAGACAAATTTAAGATGAAGAGGCCTCTCTACTCATTTGTTATGGGTGCTGATCAAATTAATGCAAAGTTGGCTTCAGTCACAAGCAGGCCAGTGGATTAGGAAGTCTGGTTGTCCTCTTCTCTTTTTACTTCACAAACCAAAAATAATCAAAAGACCTATTCTCTGTTGCTGAATTTTCATTTAACCCCCCTATACCTATAGGAATACATATGGTAGAAGCTCGATCCAATCAGAACACACACTTTTTAAAAAATGTCATCACTAAAACTTTATTATCACAAATGTATCACTCACATTTTAAGTACTGACATTATAATGCAAAACAGTTTCTTCATACTGTCAGCCAGAAGATTTGTCTTTAATTACTATTCTGTACACTTACAATAAAGAAGCTAACACTACCATCATATTATGAAAACTTCCTCCACTGATAATGACAACTTGGTAAGGTACAGATAAGCCTGGATAAAGTAAACATTAAGAGCCCTTCTTTATCTCCTATACTTAAAAATTTGGTGAATAGTGATGAGTTTCATCAAATCCATCACATAAATTTCTGGAAACTGAATAATTTCAGGACCAGAAAAGCTATTGAGTTCACTTATTTTTTAAAAAAATATTTTTCATTCTTTTTCAGCTTTATACAATCACTTGAGAAAAATGTGTCTTACAGAATGGGTCCAGAAACATGGCAATGGAACAATATCTCTCCAGATAAAGATAATTTCTGCATTTTTATCTGTATCTCAGCTTTGACTGTACACCAGAATTGTGTATGTTGGCCCTAGAAACTGACTTGAAATGTGTATACCTTCCTCTTAATCCTACAAAGAGAGCTTATTATTTAAACAAATTAATTGCTAGTTGGAGAGGCACCTCGAGTGGATATTCATACTTGAAATGTAGCTAAGGCTGAACTGAGTTGTGCTGAATGTAAAATACCCTCCACAATTCAGACTTCATCTGAAACCATCTCAGTAACGGACTTTCATATTAATTACATGGAAAATGACACATTTTAGATACCTGGGTTAAATAAAATCCATTGTTAAGATTGATTTCACCTTTCCACTAGAAAACTTACAATTGTACGTTGATTCTCATTGCATTACTGGAGACCACTGGGTGAGCCTGCATAGAAGGTGAGGACTACCAGATACTTTTAAACTAGAAAGCATGATCCCTGGCATCTGCAGGTAGGTGGCTTAGTATCTTCAGACTTCATATGTGACAATCTAATTCCAAATTCAGGGTTCTTGTCCCTCATTCCTCATCAATACTCACCACAATATGAGTGTAAACATTAGTCTTGGCAAGGGAAAGTATTGTTTTATCATCCAAACTAAGAAGTTTTGGTCGGGGCTTAATCCTGGGCTCCATTCTCATGACTTCATCATCGAATTTCAAATCCTGGGATAAGTATGATCCTTCTGAGTAGTTTTTGCTTTCTTCTACGATGATATTGTTGAATGTAGAAAACAGAGAGTGGGCCTTTACCTGAAAATTTATTTAAAATGTACAAAATTTGGTTGCTGTAGCTCTCATTTTGAAAAAGGAACAGGCTATGTAGAAAAGGTGAAATGACGTTTTTCAGTTATACAGTATAGTAATATCTATGAGGGTCAGAACCATTGAGGAAATCTATGGTTAAGACTGCAGACTAAGTGTAGGTGCACCCTCTCACACCCACCAAAAATTTCTGAAAACTGGCGAGTGAACTTTTAAATGTTCCATAACAAAGGACTAGAGAGAACCAACAAAAGACTAGAAGTCCTGAGACATAAATCAGAAGGGACTGAATTCACATTTAGGAGAAAAAATGTAACCTCTAGCCAAAACATATGCAGAAGAAAGTCATTGGAAGATCAGATTTTAAAACCTGATGTTCAAAGAAGAAGGGTGCTCTACTCATTAGAAAATTAACTAATTACAGTAAGATTGGTGAGAGAATGAGCAAGAGCTATCAGAGCAAACAGAACGGGCTCTAAAAGGAAGTAAAATAGTTCACCAAACAATCTTTTAAGACCTAGGAGAATAAGGTATCTATAATTTTTTAAAAGCTGCTCTAGAAAAGAGTAAACACTTCAATGTTAAAACAAAAACAATCATTAACATAAAGATATATAATAAATGTTGAGAAACCAGATGGCAGCAGATCATATTAGCAATCTGGAAGCTAGTACGTAGCAATCAAAAGAATAACACATTCAATATGTACTGGATGCTGAAATATGTCCAAAACACATTGTTATAAGAAAAAAAATAGAAGCCTTGGAAGTGACTTGCATGAGGTAAAACGGTATGGGCTGTTATGTATGTAAATACACAGAAAAGGGACTAAAGCAAATCCACCTGACGGAGAACAGGGAATGCCTGGGTGAGGGGAGTGGTAGTGGCTCAAAGGGAAGGCAGACTTTCACATTTATGCGGTTGTCTTAAACACAGTTTGAAGCTCTTCGTGTGAAACTACATCATGTGTTACTTCTATAGTACATTTGCAAAATACAAGTATTTCGGTATTATAATGACTTGTTTTGAAAATTAAGTCCTTCACTAACTAGCCATGACATATACACAAATGCACTCAGCCACACACATACAATATACACTTGTACTCATGATGTAAATTTGACATAACATTAGCAGACTTCAAATTACTATTCTGTTCTTATTTAAGGAATTCTTCCTCTTCAATATGTAGAATGATACATACCACTGTAATGTATTCAAATTCAGCGACGTATTCTGGCAAAACAAGGTCATGATCAAAGACAAACCACTTGCACTGCCGAAAGCCACAATCACAATTTCTTTGTCCCACAACAGAACCTAGCGTGAGAACAAAAACAAGTAAAACACTCAAAGGTAATACACCTTTTAACTCTTACCTCTACTATACAACAAGGTATTCTCAATAACTCCCAACAATTATTATTAAGGGCTTTGAAAAAAATCTCCCCACCTTCCAGCTTCTTAATTATATTAACATTTCCCATCATCCTTTCACTACACAGAGTAGAGGGATTCAATTTTATTCATATTCTTTCTCTTTTTATATTTCTTCATGTTACTACTGAATAAATGGCCATATATTTTTGAGGAATGTATTGCTCTAAAACTTTTGTTAAGAATTATGGTTCTTTTGTCTTTTAAGATTAATACATACATTTATGTCACACATGCACGTGTGCATAACCATTCCTCCATACCCCCAGGATCTGCACCCCTGGATTCAACTAACCACAAAATGAAAATATTTTTTAAAAAAGTCTGCAATGAACATATACAGAATTTTTTTATTATTCCCTAAATAATACAATATGACTACTTAAATAGTGTTCACATTGTGTTAGGTATTATGTTACATAGAGATTATATGGAAAGATTGTGTAGGTTATACAGAAGCACTGCATCATTTTATACATGAGACTTGTGCATCCGTCGGTTTTGGTATCTGAGGATGAGCGGCCCTGGTACCAATTCCCCAAAGATCCTGAGGGAGGACTGTGTGTAGGGATATATATGTGTGTATATATATATATAAATAAAGTGTGCAAAAAAAACTATGCACATACAAAAAGAAGTTCATACAGGAATAGAAAAATTATTAGTATCCAGAAACAGACTTTGTGGAGAAGTTTACAAACTCTATTAGGTAGAGGTTAAACTCTATGCTGTAAGCTGTGATCTGCTATACAAATTACAAATGTTTGAGGTTCAGAGAGACTGAAGTGTATTTCCTTTATGAGGAGCATACTTTGTAAATATTTCTGAGGCATGAACACTGAATTAACCATGGGATAGTTGGCTTGATTGACAGATTCCTGTTCACGAGCTTGAACACTCTGACCAAGGAAAACCTTTGCAATGAGGAGGATGCCTAAATATGAAAAAAAAGGAAGAGTATTTAACAATTAGTCACTTTAATAACTTTCCACTGTAAACTTCTCTATTGGCCCCGGACTTGACTTACACTGGGGAAAAGCAGAGACCAGGCTGTGTTGCTTGCCACTGTATGACACACAGCCCCACTACAAACTCCAAATGCTGGGAGGAGGTGCTTAACAAGATTTGCTGAGTAAATGAAATGGCTATGAAAGAGGAGCCCTGTGATTATATTAAGCAAAGCTTTACAGAAAGGAAACAATATAATAATTCAGCCACGTTTTTCTTAAGTTGTTAAAATCAGGGTTTTTTGTTGTTAACTAAAATGTATATAGCTTAAGACACATGTGAGCATTTTTTTGTTTTGTTTTTGTTTTTGTTTTTGTTTTTCTCTGGTACCGGGAACCGAACTCATGACCTTGCGCTTGCCGGGCAGGCGCTTTGCCGCTGAGCTAAATCCCCAGCCCCACATGTGAGTATTTTTCCCCTTTAATTAGTTGATTCTTGGGATTCAACTAAGTACTAAAGATTTCTAAGAATCAATAAATCTGAAAAAACCATTCCTAATCACAACATATGAAACAGTCAAAAGATTGTTTGCTTTTACAATGTATTAGATATAAAACATAAGTTGGAAGAACCTAACTGTTTTTGGAAAACATATTCTATAAGGCTCTAATAGAACATCATGAAGTATTTCTTAAAATGGGAATGGAGAAGAATTTATTTTTTTTAAACTAGCGAATGGTTTTTTCAAGTGAGGCATCCTTAATTCAATAATCATGTGTAATTTTCTTATTATTAACTAAGTGCAAAACACACATACTTTAGTTGAACATGAATCATCTTAGCAGATCTATAGTCTGGAACCAAGAATATCATTCTTACAGAATTAAGTCACTAAATTTCTCGCTGTCTTGGTTCCTTTCCTCTCATTTCTGAGACAAAATACCCAACATCCAGAATTAAGGAAGGAAAGGTTTATTTAGCTCACAGTTTGTGGAGGTTTCAGTCCATACTCAGGTGGCTCCAAGGCAGAGTGGCACATGACACAGGGCAACAGCTTATGGGAATGGAAAACAGCAAAAGCAACAAGAGCAAAAGAAGAGGGGAGCAACCTCTTTCCATCCCTTGTATTGTATATAAGCTATCTGCCCATGCCTATACCACCTCCATGCCCTCCTCTTCACAGGCTCAGGACTGAATATAAAGTAAGGACCCTGGCTCCCTGCTGAGTCACATAGTTAACCCTTTAAACTTCTCAAGTTGACACAATGAACAACATTCTAGAGCAGCAAGGGCATGTCCTTTTCACTCCACAATGTAGAACTGTTGAATTACTTAGTTAAGCTTCTAGACTCAAGTTGGCACAATATATCAACCAGAATACTATCAAATATTTAGTAGGCAAGAGGTTGGGAGCTAAGCATCTCTGAGCTGATTTATTCTCCTTATTATGTATTCTTTGGTACTATGCCTCAAAGCTTCATAACTACATTCATTTATATGATTACTAAGATTTGTAAACACTAAAAAGGAGAAAATGTTTAGTTTTCAGACTGTATCTCTAGCACCTACCAGTTAATAACAGTGGAAGAGGAGGAGGCAAGAGAGGACACGATGAGCTGATCTTTTTCCCCAATCTGTGGGTAAACGCTTTGAAAGTACTTGCAAATTGCTCCCTTTACTTATATAGATATATATATCTATGTATATAGATATGTAAAAATATATATAGAGAGTGCAAATAATTTTAAATAGCACAAGCTTTTCTTCTATAAAGCAACTTATAAAGCAATCCATGGACTTTACAGTTTGTCTCTAGCTCATTTTAAATTATAACACAATTTTCTTACCATGTTTTATTATGATTATTCAAGATAAGAAAAGTCCTACCATCTAGAATACTTTATGAGATTATCACAGATATGGGCCTTCTACTCTTTTCTCCTTCTTTGGAGTTTGGTTGTGTGTAACATATATATGTCTGTACTCATATTCATACAAATACATATGTATGTTGTATTTATTTTTATGACAACATAATAAAAGGAGGCTGTGAAAAGCATAGGTTGTATTAAATGTCTGAATAATAAATGAGTCTATTTCTGTTAATGCTGATCAAGAATGTCACACATAAGTATTTGTTGACAATGTAGCTAAATGAATAAAATCATTCATTATTACATTAATAAGTATGAAATAAAATGGTATGAAAAAAACCTTCTGGGTTGGTAAAACCAAGTACCAAAAATGATATGAAAATACTAAATGAATTTGAAGACTTAAAAGTTCAAAAACACTCTAAACTTGTATTACCATGTCTGAAGAGCTCATGGTCAAGAGAGCTTTTCGTCTCAGTCTTGTGTTTTTGCTGTAGAAACTCAATTCGGGGACACTCACACATGCTTAGGCTGTTAGCAAGGATAACGGCTTCTTTTCTGAGAGGCAGCTGCAAAGAATAAACACCTGGGTATTTTTTTTTTTTACAAAACTAACAATACTTTGATTTCAGTGTAGATGGTTTATTACTTTATGTGTATGTGTCTGAGCGAAGAAATGTGTAGGCCAGACTCCCTGAAAAGTAGATACCCTCCAGGTGTGACTTTATTCTGCAAAGCCATTTAAATATTTTAAATTCATATGCAAATAGGTTTATAAAAAAAGTGCTGTAGAACAAAATCTGCTCCTGGAAAAGCAGCCAAAGTCAAGGCTGGCCACACCGTGGGCATGGGCAGTAGCTTTCAGTGTGCACGCCTCTAGCAGTCTTGTTAAACCCAAAAAGAAAATCCTGTGGCAATGACATGGCACATCAGTGAAGGTTCTTATTTGTGATGTTTTGGTCTCGTCATCCACATTGTTTCCCAGAAACAAAGTATTTCTTAATGTGCCAATGCCTGAAAACTTCATTTTGCATTGTGACTGCCTTTACTTCTCAGAAGTGTGCATCAGTAATATCTGCATTATCTGATATGCAAGCAGCTCTAAAAAGAAAAAAAGTACTAATTTTAGAAAGAAAACTAGACACTACCTGACCTCCAAGAACAGAACTAGGAATTACCAAAGTCATGACAGAAATACAGATCATTGGTCCTTGTCACAATCAGTTTTAAATTTATCACTTGTTTCATATTAATAGCCACATTATTTAGAATTATAACCTTTTTGAAATGCTAACTGTACTTTTTCTTGTTGAAATATGTTATCAGAAGAATTTTTAAAAATCAGTAATGAGGGTTAGGGTTAGGGTTCGGGTTTGGGTTCGGGTTCGGGTTCGGGTTCGGGTTCGGGTTCGGGTTAGGGTAGCATGCTACACCCAGGACTGGGAAAGGCTTGGGAGGAGGGCCACAAGTCTAAGTCTAGGCTGGGCCTTCTGTCTCAAACACACACACTTAAAAGACACTTTGAAATGTGGCTCAGTGCACATTTCCTGGGTTCAATCCCAAGTCCTGCAAATATGAAAAAGTGGCTCACGTGACCACAGTTCCCACATTCTGTTAAGTAAATCTCAGAGTGCCAGTGATCATCACTATCTGTTAACTACGACCTATGCACATGGCCCTGTGAGGGTAGGCCATGACCTTGGTCTTCAGATGACAGAGGGGAAAACAGGAACTATACCTAAGAATTAAAAATAAAAAGCATCGCCAGATGTGTTAAAGAAGAAATCCTTTTGAACTAAAGTGATTAGGAAATAATTTGAAGAGCGAATAAGATCATGACTAGGCCTCAAAAAGTGGAGTAATGAAAAAGTCAGAAATTAAACAGAAACTATTTTTAAGAAGAGAAAAATATATGAAGGTATAGAAACAGATCCTATGGCCATCTATCCATTTATTTGCCTGATTTCTCCTAAGAATCTTTCTATAAACAAAGTCCTTGCCCTGAAAGATTAGTAGAGAAATGCACACAGATGACAGCATTTCAGTAATCAAGGTGCTACAATAACAACTCTCAATTAATTGCCATTTAATAGACTAATGCTTGGCAAATTGCAATATTATCCAGTAACCTACTGTTCTCTGTCAACCTTCTCTCTATAACCCACCATTCAAGGATAGGATGGAACTTTTTGAAACAGTGATGTACTTCTGTCCAGTCGTGCTATAGGATTACCAAGTGTCAGTTTTGTTCTTGAATTTGTTTATGCCAATTGTAATTGCTATTGAAATGATGCATATTATGTAAAGCAATGGAATGGAAGGAAAGTTGTTTCTCTGAGAACTAAGTAGAAAATTTAGTGAAATTTAATAGTGGTTGTTTGCCAAAATATGTCTGGGTGAGGCAAATGCCAAAGTTTTGTGGTGGCACATGGGACTCACACAAATTAGATGGATTTTTGCACTCTAGTTGCTTTGCCAGAATCTAAGCACATGCTCAACTTTAAGGAAACCGAAACTAATATGAAACATGATTCTAGCTGATGTGAGCTAGACTAGGGACAGTTCCAGTTTCATAGACAAGGGCTTTGGCCTACACACAAGACTGAGAAATGAATGTACATTTGTTTTAAATTGATTATAGAATTTTTAAGTAAATAATTTGTTAACGGTTCTTCATTTTAATTGGCTTTAAAAAAAAAATCTACAAACAAGCAAAGAGGGCTCCACCATTTGAGAATTCAGAAAAGGCTTCACAGAGGAAAGCATCCTTGAACCAAACCTTGAAGGATAAGTAAGTTTACCATAGGGAAAGGGGTAGAAATAGCATTTTGTCAGAGGTAAACATGGCAGTAAACTGTGTTTAAGAGAATTACAAGCACAGCACAAGCTTTCTTTGGGAGACCTGGTATATGTGGAAATAGGAAGTAAAGTTGAAGGTAGTTTTTTTTCTCTACTGTAGCCAGCCCACTGCCTACCTATCCCAAACCTCTTATCAAAACTACTCACACAGCTATCAACTGCACCTGAGCCTGTTATGGCTCATATCTAGATGTCCCCCCACAGCGCATGTGCTCACAGGCGGGGCTTGGGGTGATTGGTTTGTGGGGCTGCGACGCTCCTCACTGAATTAGCCCGCTGATGAGTTTAAGGCTGATTTGCTGTTGGGAGGTGGGATCTGGTCAGAAGTGGGTCACTGGGGGCATGGCCTGGAAGTTCACCTCTTCCCTGCTCTTTCCTTTATTCCCTCTGCTGCCCTGCTGTGTCATGAGCTGCTTGTTCTCTCTGCTGTGCCACCCTGCCCTGGAGCCACCTGCCTATAGACTAAAATGAGTGGAAGTAAACTTTTCTCCATTAAGTTATGGGCAGCAGGTACTGTGTCTCAGTGATGAAAGTAACTAAGACAGAGCCCATCTCTTAATACAGAAATACCTATCCACACTTGCCAGTGCTGGTCATAGCGTAGAGACCCGGCTCATCCGATATTCTTATACAGGGATGACTTCCCCACTTCTAGGATCTTCACAATGAGAGTAACTGATAGTATTTGGGAAAAGGCAGAGCAGTTAACTTTAATCTTGTGGGATTCTCAGGTTTAGAGGCAAAATGAGGAACAAAAAGGAAACAATGATAGGACAATTAGAAAACAGGAAGACAGCAAGAGTGTAACATTGTGGATTTCAAAGGAGAATTTTAAAAAGGAGAGAGACTAATAAATAGTTTCAAATATTTCAGACAACAATGGTAAAATACTGCATCAAAAACTTTTTATGTAGCAGGCACTCCTGAAAGAACTTTTTGGTAATTTTTAAAAATACATTTTATTTGATCCAGTATATCCAAAGTACTATTTCAACATGTAGTCAATATAAGAAGTTATAGTCCTTCTTGCATACTAGGCTTTACCCGCTGTGTATTTTAAGCAGGCACACTCACTTTGGACTAGCCATGGTTATCCTAGAGGACAAAACAACACTGAAAGCTATTAGGAGAATTAAAGGAGAAAATCCATGTCTCTTAGAAGATGCAGAAGATAAAGCATTTGGCACAGTACTGCTGGGTAGAGAAAAAACAAAGTGTCAGCCCCTTCCTCAGCCCACTTTCGATATCCACGATGGTTCGCAGTTCCCTGAATTGAAAGGAGGCCTTATTCTATGTGACGTTTTATGCTACCTTGTTTGTTTCACTGTCTTTGAATCCTTTTTCAAGTATCTGCAGCAGATGCTTTTTCTTCACTGTAACTTCAGGATCAAAAACATAAAAAAGGCAGTCCAGCTTCTTGCGATAGCTCCTTAATAATTAGAAGAAAAAACACTGAGAAGTGATTTTACAAAAGCTCAGTTACAGATAAAATAATTATGTGCCCTCCTGGGGACATTTCTGTTTATACTGGATGTTCCCTCATTTTTAATACCTTTACCATCCACCCCAACTCTAAAAAGGACCAAGGCAGACAGATAAATAATGAGGTCACCTAGCTCGGGTGTATTGTCAACACTGTTAACTTTTAAAATAGACCTTTTTTTTTTTTTTAATAAAGCAAAGCCAGATTTTTATAAAATTGGTCATTATGGAATTCAGCTTCTTACTCTGAATCATGTATATCTTCATTGTCCAAAAACTTTTGAAATTTTTCCTCAAATTTTAGTCTCAGAATACGATTGTTAACTTTAATGACACGTTTTACTTTGATTCCTGTAATACCATATGTTCTGAAGTCCCATGTACAGAAACGTGATAGAATTAATTCATAACAGGAATTATACCTATGAGGAAATACAAAATACACACAAAGAAAATAACAGATTTTCCTTCATATGTTTAAGAACACAAAGTTACCTATGGTAAAAATTATAGCTCACAGTTTGTGGTTTTGGCTGAAGATACATAGTCATACGGCAGCTCTGCTTTGGTTCATACCATGCGTACTTATTCAATAATAAAAGATGCTAAATTTTGAAATACAGTGAAAAGTAGGTCTTTTATTAATTATTCTATGTTTTTTCTGACTAAGAGGCTGAGTTGTTTGACCAGTCTTCCCTTCTTAAAATACTTTCCTTCACTAGCTTCAGTAAAACTGCACATTCCTGCCTTCCTCCTGGCTGGCTGCGCCTTCCTGGCTTTCTCGACTGGTTCCTGAGTGACAGACTTCTAATCTGGGTTTCCCCAGGGAGCAGCTTTTGGCTGTCTTCTTGCTGTAAACACTCTGCCTAGGTGACTTCATCTGGTCCTCGGTTTTACATATATTTTTCATAACTTACAGCATTTTATTTCTAGCCTTTAACTCTACCCAATGTACCTGTATATATCAAGGCTGGCCTATCTAACTACATACTTGATGTGGCTATCTGTGTAAGTAACAGCTCTGTAACTGACCTCAAACTTGCTCCTCCTGGGAGTTTTCCATCCCAGGACTGTATATAGCACATCCTCTAACTTGTAGCATATGTTAAAACCTCAGAGATAACCACCTTCTCTCTTGCTCGCTGATGTCCATCCTCATTGAGCCTCTTTGGTGCTAACACATTTTGGTCTAAATACATCCAGGATATGATGACATCTCCTCACCACCACTGCCATCCTAGTCCAAATAATCATCATCTCTCAGTTGACTACTGTTATAACTTCCTAACTAAGGATTCAGAAGTGAAAGAGACACTGGCTTTGCTCTCAGGAATCTACGTTCCAGGAAGACTAGGTAGAACATAAAGAAAATAATTCCTAAATACAGCAACTATTGAAAGATCTGCCTAACTTAAATGGGTGAATCAATATTTTTTAAATGACCAAAGCACATCAAGTTTCACGTGAAATATTTTAATGTAAAAGTATAAAAAGATGTGGTTTCAGATTTCAAAATGGAATGAACCTTCAAAATTTAAACATCCACTGGTCAAGTTTTGATGCATCAAAACATAACATACCACAATATATTACACAAGTGCATATAAGAATGTATCCGTCTTCTGTTCAGCCAAATATTAAAATATTCTGCAAAAAAACATTGAAATAATAGTACTCTTCCCAGTAGAGTTTTTTTTGGAAAACAGTTACATTTCATAAAAGTGTTATTTATGTTTTTAAAAAAAGGTAGGATCTTGGAGAAGATGTCAGAAGAGATACTTGTTCTGAGAACAAAAGGAGGAAGGGTGCGAGCTCAAGAACAGTAGGTATTGAAAGAGCCGCTGACTTTCTGCTGCCCTCACGTGGCCATTCTCGTAGAATTACACTCTTGTTTTAAAAGTACAGAATCTAGATTGAGATTTTAAAAACAGAACATTCTGACGGAAAGTACGTGACATGGAAGTGTACATGGGTCACATTTACCTTTATGGACATGTCCAGGCCCTCACATTCAAAATCTAGCAGGGCCTGAACATGAGTGCGAGCAGAGATCACACAGTGAGCTTCCCATCGAGCCCAATACCTGAGCATCTAAACTGCCCAAACCAATCCCAGGGGAGCTTACAACCACTAGCAGAGAGAGAAATGAATGAAACAGTGTTACAGTCCGGCATGCTGTCTGCTAACCAGCTCAGAGATCTCACAAAAGAAGCCACATTACCGTCTACCGTGGAAAATCTGTGCCTAGAAAAGGATCATTTTCTGGATCTATAGCAGCCACATCTTACCTAAATAAGTCTAGGGACCACTGAAGCTGTCCACATCAGGCTTCCTCCACTCTAATAGGGACCCATGCCATAGGCATTTTAGGTGAAGTTTTTGTTAGTTAGTGGGCATCTTAGTAGGGCTGGAGTGTCCTCATGAATTGGCAGAAATTCTGAGTGGACAATACTTGGTTTCCAGTCTGGGCATAAGTAGCTGCATGAAAGAGCTTTCTTTCTCTGCCAGAAATTCAGCAGCTGAGCAATGATAAAGCGAGGGTGAGGACACAAAGGCATTCTGAGTGCAGAAAGCAGAACGAACAAAGCCACTCAAGTGGTAAGTATCACCTGTGCCCTGGGAACGGGGAGGCATGCAGCTCAGCTGACTGTCAAAGGTTTTAAAACCGAGTGATGACAGTCAGAGACACTGAATTCTCCTCTGAAGGTGAAGGGCCTACATGTAATTTGGAAGGAAACAGACAGCAACTAACCAAAGGTTTTCATTCGGTTTTGTTTTTAACAGAGTGATTTAATAGGAAGCATGCCAGCAAGACCTGTGTGAGAGACCATTTAGGAATGTTTACTGATTAACAGACATTGCATACCCACTTTGCACAGGCATTGCAATAGGTGTTGTGACATGAACTGGCTTTGGCGACTGGCTCTTGGCACCTCAGGGCTGGTTGTGGAGACTGAGGGAGAGAACAGAGTCAAGAATGTCTTTGACGTTTGCTGAGAATGGATAACAAAGAAGACATTGAAATCTAAACAGAACTAAAACCTAAAAATTCAAGGTGAAGTATTTTTGCATGGTCTTATCTAAACCTACTGTCATGGCTGTGTCCAGATGGACCCCCAAAGCCTCATGTAGTCACGGGCTGCTTTCCAGAGGGGTCCAGATCTAGAGTGTGTGGTGTTGGAATCAAGGGTGTGTGATTACTAAATCAGTCCGGCGAGAGCGAGAGCGAATTATATTTATGCAGTCTACATGCCCTAAGGCAAATGTAGCACTCACACCCTCAATCCTAGCCAGAACTGTGCCAAACCAATCAGTGGACTCATGTAGGAATTACACACCCTTAATCTCAGTGTCTTCAGGGGGCCAAAAGCAGAATGTTATGGCTTGTGTCTAGATGTTCCCCCAAAGCCTCACGTGGTCATAGGGTCTTTTTAGAAGAGGCTGAATCTAGTGTGTGCGATTAATGGTCTGTGATTAGTAATCAATCCACTGAGTGGTTTGGCATAGTTATAGCTAGCATTAAGGGTGTGAGTGTTATACCTGTAACAGAGCAGGTAGTCTGCCTAAAATATAAGGGACAGAAAGAGGACTAATTCACTCTTGCCTGCCTGCCTGCCTGCCTGCCTGCCTGCCACAGACTATTTTTCCTCTGTGATGCTCATTTGCCATGCCACCTGTCATGGAGCAGCCAACTACGAACTGAAACCTCTACAAATTATGAGCCAGGTAAACCTGTTTCCCTTTAATTTTGGGTGTCAGGTATTTTGTCTCAGCAATGAAAGAGTAACAAAGACATCTACTGGTAACATTTTGTGGTAGATTATTTTTCTCATCTTACAGATTGTTATGGTTTGTGTCCAGATCCTCATGCAGTCGTAAGTGAGGCTTTTTGGAGGTGGCTGGATCAAGGGTGTGTGATGGTGGGATTAAGGATGTGATGCTGGGATTAATGGTGCTATGCTAGGACTAAAGATACCCCACCTTTGCTGTGAGTGCTACCTACCCTAAAAGCAGGTAGCCTGGATACAATATAAGGGACAGAAAAAGGGTTGTTGCCATGGCTTGCAGCTTGCTGCTTTGCTGCCTCCTGCCTTCCCACCATGAACTATTTCTCTTCTGTGATGCCCCTCTCCCATGCCACCCTGCCTTGGAGCCAGCCAACTATGGGCTGAGAGCTACAATAAAGTTTTCCCCCTTTAACTTTGGGTGTCAGGTATTTTGCCTCAGCAATGGCAAAAATAAATAAAATACAGTTTAGATGGACAACACAGTGGTTTCAAGACTACACAGTTTGAACCTAGGTCTTCTGTCTCTCATTCTTTTTGTATTCTATTACTGCACTGTTGATTCCCTTTTGAATGTGTTGAGTTTGCTTTGCCAGTTGGACATCCAGGTAGAAATGTCCAACAGACAAGAATTTAGGGCTGGAGTCCAGGAGAAAGGTTGTAACTATTGGTAATATTAAAGTACAGGAAAGGAGACTAACAAAGAAAGTCACAAAAAATAGAAAAATTCTAACTACTAGAATCAAGAGAGATGGAATTACAAGGAAGGAATGGTTGACAGTATCAAATGCTTTATGGTCAGGAGGGTGGGGGCCCCTCAACTTCCCTGAGTGCCCTCACCTAGTGCAATCTGAATTCATAAGCATTCACACTGATGTTTATCATGGATTAAGATGCCTACAGACTTTTGTTAATATACAATTAATGTGTTTAACAATGTAGAATGCACATGCTTTTAAATGGTTGGAACAATTTATTAAAATGTACTTCATAATACTAGACAAAGGCTTACTAAATTCTGTTAACTAACATGCTGACTTAAACCAATGTTTTATTGTACAAAACAATAAGTTTTTGCTGCTACAGCTACTAGAAAGAGTACAGTATGAAATTTTTACTTATAGTTAGATTTTATTTATTTATTAATTTATTTGAGACAGAGTCTCACCATGGTGTTCAGGCTGGCCTTGAACTCCCTATGGAGCCCTGCCTGGCCTCGAACTTGAAGTAATCTCCTTCCTCAGCCTTCTGAGGGCTGGGGTTACAGGCCTGTGCCACCATGCATGGCCTATAGGTAGATTAATTACTGAAAGTATATACATAAAAGTGAAATTGTTACATGAGTACTTGTAAAGGTACATGGAAACTTCAATTAGTAATTTATATACTGGGCTATGATTCCAGCCCTGTGCTAGATTTTATGATTTATAAGCCACATGAAACGTCATATCCTCCCTAAGGAGCTTACAGAATCACTTATATATTCTTTTGTGGTGCTTTAAAGTTCCATGTTAAATTATAAATGCACTGTGTTTATAACCCGGTTGAAAGCTCCGTAAGCAGAAAAAGAGCATCTTCCTCACTTGTGAAAGCCGTCTGATGTCGATGGGTAACTCACTCGGAAACACCTAGGTAAATCCGTAATGATAAAGCTGCAGAGGGGGCAGCCTCTAAAATAATGATAGTTTAGAACTGAAAAACCTAATAATCATTTCATAAAAGAAATTACAATGTGTTCAATATTATAAAATTAGAAAACCTTGTTTTTTCTTAAAGTAATAAAGGCTATTTTACTTTTCTACTTGAAAACCTTTCTATTTGAGTCCTAATTCTACTCAAGTAATTTTAATAATATGCCAAATCCTTGGCCTTAGAAATATTAATAAAGAAGAAGCTAATGTTAAATAAAACAACCAGAAGTGCAGCAGATAGCAGTTTAAAGTACTTTGGTTGTTATTTCTTAACACACATAAAAGATCAGCTCTTTGGTGGCCAAACTTGTAATATGTTTAAAGTAAAAAAGAGTCCTTGATATGCTGCCAACACACGTTTATCTCCTTAAAAATGCATCAAGGTTACTCTTATCAAAACCAAATAAGCAATTATTAATGCTTGTCAAATCCATCAAAGCAATCTAATTTAGTATTAGGTTGATACACTTATCTAAATGCCTTTTTAGTAATTTCATTTTCAAATATTTTTTCACTAACATTTTTTAAGAGCTTACTTTGGGATAAATTAAAAAAGAAACAAATAATAATGAACAATTCTGTTCAAGTCAAATGAATATAAATGAAAGGCTGAAACGTTATGTGTGTGTCCCGTGAGAGACACCGTTCAGTTCTGCACTTGAAAAATTGGCCTTTACTTGCTTATGTGGGAACTGATATGAGCACTGTTTATATTCTCGTATATAAAAATCAAGTAGCAAACAGTGTAAACTGCTGGGTGAATGGGTACAATGATACAAAGGAAAATTTTTACAAGTCTCTTTCTCCCTTGGGAAGTGTGCCCCAAGACCTCTGAGAAGCTTTTACTCACTCAACAGTAAGAAGCTACCTCTAAAGGAAATCTGGGGGCGTGGTTTAAAGTTACCTCTAACAATCTTATTTTTTTTTCTAAAAAGTTAATGCAAAGTTTGCATTCCGCTCCTCAATAATCAGCATTTATACTGTGGCTAACGCAGTAAAGCTGTGCTCCATGCCAAGCACAACACGCCAGGTCCACTTGCAGCTCCACGGGTCTCCTGGTGACCTCAGAATACCTAGGTGCCCATTGTGGCTCTCAGGTGATCACTGGCTGTGCCACAGGCTCCCCAATTTTGAGAAAATGACTTCGGAAATGTGAAAGTCATAAATAATAATATCTTTCATCAAGACTTTCTTTTTAAGGATTTGGATTATGCCCTGAAGTCAGGCAAAACACCCATCTCCTATTTCTCCCGATAGGCGGGTCTTGGCTGGAAGGCATGGATCCTGTTTTCTGCTTGTTTCTCACGGTTCTCTCCATTTTTGTCTATACAGGCTGCTGGCCCCAAAGCTTGGTTTAGGCATTCATGTCATTCTAATGTTCAGTGCTCGTGTGCACCCTGAGCAAAGCCAGTTTTAAATCGCAAGCTCCACTTTGGCCACACGCCTACGTGGTACTTGCTAAAAACTTCCTTCCATGTTAGCAGTGTCAGTTGTGCTTTGGTATTCCTGCTGTGTTTTAGCTTCTCAGCCAATATTCAGAATCCAGGGCTTCATCCAGCACAGAAACAAACAGAAGAAACATACGGAAAACTAATACTTTACTATAAACTATTTCTTTCTGATACTCTGTTCTTTAGGTGTTATGGTTGAAACATTGTGTCAACTTGGGGAGTCTAGAGGTTTGGCTAAGTGACTCAGCAGGAAGCCAGGATGTTTACTTTGTATACATCCTGAGCCTGTGGAAGAGGAGGGCATGGAGATTATGTGAGAGCTACATGCCCCTTAGGTGGGGATGGCCCGTTTACAAAGTAAGGCAGGGAAAGAGGCTGCTTGCCGCCATTCCTCCGGTTTGCTCTGGCTGTTTGCTGTTTGGCTGCCATTCCCCCCTTTGCTCTTGTTGCTTTGCTATCTTCTGCCTCGGAGCCAACCAAGTATGGACTGAAACCTCCACAAACTGTGAGCCAAATAAACCTTTCCTTCCTTCATTTTGGGTGTTGGGTATTTTGTCTCAGCAACGAGAGAAAAGTAACCAAGACATTAGGTAAGGAAAACTGGGTGAAGATCAGTGATATATCATTAAGATGTCTTTGAGATTAGCTGAAGTGACCACGTAGACAGAGAAATGTGTAAGTGGTGAAGTAGGTAACTGCCAATTTTTGTTAGATTAAGATTCTTTATGAGAAATTTTTGGAAAAGGTGAGATCTTAAAATTATAAATTGATATTCTGGTTGATGAAGCTAATTACATAAAGTTATTTTAAAATGATACTTAAACTTTAAACAAGTTTACCAGTCATCAGATCTAGTGCCTTGCTCAAAATGGATATTTCCCACAGTTTCCAATTCAATCAGCAAAAATGGGATCAATAAGCCATGACTTTTCTTCTTTTGCTTTACTTCAAATCGATAAATTGCTTCAATTCTATTGAAGAAAAAAATATATATATATGTACAGCTATTAGAGTGATCGAAACATCACAACATTAAAATTCATGATAGGTTTTAACTTATATTAAAATATATCTGGTTTTTTCCATGAATAAAGAAAGCTTGTTAACAGTTAAACCAAGTAAAAGTCTGCTTTTTGCAATTTAAAGCCACCTTAAATTTAAACTGCAGAGTATATAAAGATTAGAAGACTATTCTGGGTCTAAAGCTGCAGGTTTTTGATCTTAAGCAATTTTAACCTTTTTATGACTCCATTTTCTCAGGACAATGGCAATACTAACAGCACCCATGTCATAAAAGGCTGTTCTGAGGCTTAGATGTAAAATACAAGTAACACTCACAGCAAAGATTCTGGCGCAGAGTCACCCCCTTCCACCACCAGAATGTTATTAAAGTTACTGTTACCATCATTCTAGGGCAGACTAATTTATCCACTTAATGCCTTAGTAAGTAAAAATTTTTCACAGTCCCTATTAAGCCTTCTTATTTAAATTTCAGTTGATAACATGAGCGTGAACTTGCTTTTATATGATTCAGACAGATGTTGATTTACTCTGCTGGACCTCGTCTACTTGGTGAGTTCCTCCACCAGCAGTGCCCTGTCGCGGTTCGCACGCAGAGATGCGACATAAAGGCACACAGAGGAAGCTCACCGCTCCTGATTAAGGACCACTGTACCACAAACTGCAGGCCAGCTGTGACCAGGGATGTGCATTCACTATGCGCTAGGAACTGGACTAAAGAAAACATATCCCGTCTTCATTCTGTAATTCTTTCCATTCCTACACAAGGAAACTGATAGACCCCCAAACATTCTTATCCTCTCATGCTTCAGATCTGAACTAGACAGTTCATTAAACATACTCATCAAGTTTTTTGTTCCAGAATGCTACCCTTTCATTTAAGGCATTTAATTTGATCATTATCTTCTGCTGAAGACTTGGTTCTTCTACGATGGTTTCACAGTTCTTTGATTTTTCAACCTCAGTTCCTTTATTGTTGTTAGATCTATCACTGTGCCCTTTGCCAGATCCCTTGAGTTCAGCCAGCTCCCGTTCCAACTGTTGAAAACCATGCACCAGAAACAAAATAAAAATTAAACATGGTAAAGGTAAAGTCTGAATTCAGATATTAATTTTTAGTGAGATCTATTAAATAGCTAACTTAACTTAACAAGGTAGAAATTTAGGTGATAAATAGGACAGACTTCATAAAAGCATACCAAGCACATGATTTCAACTTTGGTCCATGTTCAACTAATTTCCTTTGACCAAATGACAGCCTTAAGAACTTCAAACATGGCAGTCTCTCAATTCAAAATAAGAAAAGCAAAGAAGTTGGTCTTGAAATTTGATGTTTGCTTATATTAAAGCTAAAGTAAGTTTAAAATAAATGCCAGCTGTGATGTAAATGAAATACTTAAACTTTAAAAATAAAGTTGTGATATTTTTATACACTCACTTGTCAATGTTTTTTCAACATAAATATGAACTTGTTTTCACATGGTTCCAGACAACTGTGCATGTACTCTGCGGTGTGCGTGGTGTTCTGGGAGAAAGTTCATGACAAAAAATAAAGCAAAGCTTGTACCTAGGGGTACACATTAACCTTTGCCTGGGTCTCCTCTAAGGCTCAAGTCAGTGCAAGGAATGAAACTTCAAAACCGTGAGCCAAAATGAAGCTCTCCTCCTGTGCACCACAAGTGTTGGGTGCTGTGTCTCAGCAATGAGAAAGTGACTGAGATGCTTGGATATTTTAAAATACGGCATAAAATATTATTTAGCTGGATTACTGAGGTTTTGGACATTCCCTTAAATTTGGGGCCCAAGGCAAGAACCTTATTTCCCTCACTGTAATCTTAATCTTGTAGGATTTTAAAAGAAATTGTATTGTACAGAAAGCGTATGAATAGAAATATACTAATTATCTGTATTTCCTCAGTAAAATACCTATGTAGAGCTATATTGGTTAAAAAATAAATTGAGCCTATTTATAAAAATGTTTATAGTTTACATAATCTATGCCATTTTTTATAATTGCAGATTTTATTTAATGCAAGGTGATAATCTTTAATCTGAAAATGCAAGATATGAAATGGCCCACAACCCAGAACTTCTTGATACATATCAGATTTCAGGTAAGGAATGATTAGCCAATTAATATGTAAATATTCCAAAAATCTGAAAAATTCTAAATTCTGAAATATTTTTGGTACTAAGCATTATAGGTAAGATACTCAACCTGTTTTACATATGGAAATGGCAAAATGGATTTCATGTACTGGTCTCCTGTGGTTTTTATTCAAATAATTTATTAATATTTTACTTTAATGTTTTTCTGATTATAATAATTAAAACCTCAGTTTGAAAAAGTATTAAATACATTTCAAAGCCTTGGTTTTTACTATCGACTGCTCTGTCAGAAAAGTGAACTCCTGTTAAACATTGAGGTAGTTCCATTTTTTTTTTCTTGTTATTAATAGTGCAGTGGTGAATCAACTTAGACTGGAGTGTTAGGAGTAAATTACTAATAGTGCAGTGGTGAGTAACCAGAAAGTAGAATGCTGCATGTGCCCTCACTAACTCAAGGGCTTTGAGCATCCTTAAGGCTCCCTTCACTGGCAGCCAGTGTGTCATATTCATTTCACTGCCATGGGCACTGCCTGTGCACTGCTACGCATTTGTGATTTGATAGCTGATAAGTGAAAATAGTTTCTTGATATCTTAGTTAACATCTGAAAATTAACAACTGAGCTGCTCCTTCAAGTAGTTTACTGGTCACCTTTTTTTTATAAAGTGCTATTTTATGTACTTTGCTCCCTTTTTCTATTTGGATATTTACTTTTCATCTTGCATCATTTAAAAGTACTAGTACATATTATACTAAGGATAAAAATCTGTGGTCCCTCATTTTTGCTGAAAACCTTTTTTTTTTTTTCAGATTGTCATTTGTTGTTTACTTTTATTAACAATATTTTTTAGCACAAAATCATTTTGCTTTTTTGCAGTTAAATCTGTATTTTGTTCTTTGTGATTTCTCATATTTTATTTGGCAAGCTGAGATCAGTCAAATGTATTTATATGTTTATTCTTGACTTTTTCATGCTTTTATTATGCACATTTAATTCTTTTTTACCTACTGGTATTTAGTTTTGGTATAACGTAAATGAGGACTCAACTCCCCTACTTTTAAATAGTTTGGCTATTTTTTATAATGTGATTTATTGAATAACCAATTGTTTCTTCATACTTTTTAAAAATAAAGTTGTATGTACATAAGAATTTGTTTTGAGGTAAATAATCTTTAATTTTCAGGATCTACTTTTAATAAAGGAAATCCAATTTATTTTAAATAAAAAGCACATCAGGTATATCCTGATTCAAAGTTCCCACTTCACTGTACCCTTTTAACAATATTAGTAAAGGGATATATTAACACTTTAAACAAGAAAATGTATTTTAAGCACAGTCTGCTGGTACCCAATAAAAATACAGCTGAACTACATACAATGGATCTCTGTAACTATGAGTTATACTGAAACACAGAGTTTCTAAAAATTTCACAAATATGTAAGTCTGTCATGGTTTTGAATTGAGGATTTCTAGCAACAGAATGCAGCTTAAATACCTGGAATCAAAACATTTTTAGGGTAAAGTTGAATTGAAATTCAGTATTAGATGTATACATATATAAACTTAAAAGATTTTGCTACCTTATCTGACAGTTTTTAAAAAGATTTAATGACTGAAGTTTTACATTATTAAATCTTACATTTTTTCCCACAAAGCTGAGTAATTTTATTTGTTCTTCTGGCAACTTCTGTAATTTGCATTTTCTATCATTTAATTTTTCAAGATCTTCATTAAGATGCCTCTGAACAGTTTTTATACGCATATTGTAATACATTATTTTTTTAATTGCTGTGGTCTAAAAGTAGGAAACAAAACAAGATTAAGTAAAAGAAGTCATAGGCAATACGAGTGGTATTATGTAAGGATGACATATTCTTCCTCCTGATGGTAAGTTTTTCTAGCTTGGTAACAAATTATGATGATAGCTGGAGGGACCGTGGCTTACAGAGTTCTCTACTTAAATTTAATATGCAAAGCATACAATTTCAGAGATGTCCTTTGTGGATAATATCTATGGGTGAGACATATTCACATTTATTTCCAGGATGATAGCATGAAGACACTAAAGACAGAATTTATAGAGGAGTATTATTTAGCTAGTGAGACAGTATTACTAATATGTTACCTAAGTGGTGCATAGGACAGTGGTATCAATCAAAAATAACTGAGGATAGTATAAAGTAATCAGCTGTGCTATAAAAATGTGACCTCATCAGCCATTTACCTGAAATAATGAAGGAGTTTCTCTTTATTAAGACATTTATATCTCAAAGAACTTGGAAAGCTTATACATGTTATACACACATTTTCTATGGCTACAAGCTCTTTTGATATGTTATGTAGTATAAACATAGTACCCTAGTTCATGAACTTAATTCTTTCCACAATTCTGGGGCAAAATGGCCACATTGATGTTCATACAAAAGACACGGCCACAGTCACATTCATCACTCAATGCAGAGTTCAGAAACAGAAACAAAATTTTGCCAAATGCTTCTGTTTGTGAGCCAAACTGTTTGCAAACAAAAACATTCATGAACTGAGGTGCCACTGTATATAACTTAGCTTCAAACAAAATTATTAGCATAAAAGACATAATAAAAATAAATACATGGTATGTTGAACAGGCCAAAAGAATTCCTTTATTCACAAACATTAGGAAGCTGTGGAACTGAAATAACTAAATTCCTCTGCCAAAAATAAGACATTAATAACAAGACAAAAATTGTTCTGGAAAAAAAATTGTCTAGAAAAAATTGTTTTCTGAGCATGCTGGTATAATTTAAGATGTCAGACACTGTGTAACAATTCCTTATTTGTCATTTATATTACTCCTGACCTATACAAGCGGTATGGTTTAGATCTGGAGCATCCTCTACAAGCCTCATGTGTTTGGATGGGGACTGGCTCATGGGGGCACTATACTGAATATACTAATTGTGCTGTTGGGAGTGGGGACCTGGTTTGAGGTGGGTCACTGGGACCATGACCTACAACTGTATGTCTTCCTCCTTGGTTCCTCTCTTTGCTATCTCTGCCTGACCTGCCATGATGTGATCAGCTTTCCTCTGCCAGGCTCTTTCACCACAGTTTTTCCCTTAGAGCTCACCAACTAGGCATGGACTGAGACCTCTGGAACTCATATTTTAAGTTTCAGGTGTAGAGTATTTTGTCTAAGCAATGAGGAAAGTGAGTAAGACAGATTTTGATACCAGAGAAGTGGCGTGGTTGCTGTGACTACAAATGACCACGTGGTTCAGACACCTTTGGAACTGGCTTGTGTGAGGCACTTAAAAAGATACAGACTACAGAATTCTGATACTGATGTAAGCCAAACTTGATGTGAGATTCTATTTGGAGCTCAGGAGACCAGAATACCCAGAGAAATGTAGATGTGGTAAAGACCAGAAGCAGGTTTTAACTGGGAACAAGGAATTCATTGACAGTTGGGCTAGAGGCCATATGTGTTATGCTCTGGCAGAATATCTGTCTACATTTTGGCATATCTTGAGACTTTGTGGGAGACTAAGATTAAAGGTGGTGGACTAATTATCTTGGCAGAGAAAATTTTCAAGGCAGCCCAACCTTCAGGCTGTAACAAGAGTACCATTGGCAGCTTTTAGCCAGATTTATAATGAAAATCAGGAGCAAAGACCAGAGAGCTAAGTACCTTGAAGAGTTTGCAGTTTCCCCAGAAAGGAAGCAACAAAGTTGGGGCCTTGGAGAGCTTTGCTAAAAAATATTAGCATTTAAAAGAAGCCAAGTACTTTACATCTGGACAATAGGAAAGATGCTTACAGGGCATTTCAGGAATGAGCAAGACCCTACCCTCTGAAAGCTCAAGCATTTAAAAGGGTAAAGGTAAACTCCTTTGAAAGACTGAGAAGAAAGGCTGAGGGCACCCTGCTTGAGAAGGATTGGTTCCCAGGGATTTCCTTCACAGCCATCCATGTACTAGGAGGCCTCTGCAGTCATGGTCCAAAGGGGCCTGGCTATTGCTTAATGTAGTGGTAGGCCTTAGCATCATCCACATGGTTCTGGTTTTATTCGCATGCAGAATGCAAGAGTTGTGGGGTCCGATGATCTGCTGCATTCTATTTGCTAGTATTTTATTGAATATCTTTGGGGTAAAGGGCAACTGGGATGTGGGAAAAGAGAAGGTAAAGAAGGAGAAATTTTGTATGTATATATATATATAGGATAGTTAACATAGTTGAACTACTGTCTTCTATTTCTTTGCTGAAAGAAACAGTTAATGATTCCTTAATTGATCAATATTGCATGTCTCTATTTGTTTTCATGAGAAACCACTTTGAAGATATCAATATGTAATACAACAAGCATTGTTAATTTCCTACCACTTTGTTTGTAACTCTGTATTGTTTGTATTGTTGTTTTGCTATTTTGTAAATGGTTGTCTGTTTGTTAATGTTTTGCTTCTTTTACTTTTAAAATTAAAAAAAAAAGTTGTGGGGTCCGGAAGGCTTCCACCCAGATTTTAGAAGAAGGCCCAGGAGGCCAGGCAGTGCCCCTGTGAGTGCAGTGTGTAAGGCTATAAGACTAAAGCTACACAGCACCTTCCTGGCAAGCATGAGGCCCTGAATTCAATTCTCAGTACAAAAAAACAAAACCTCCACCCAACAATGCCATAGGTGCAGAGCCATCCATACTCTTTGGAACTTACATCTTGCCACAAAATACTCCAGGTACTAGACAAGGACTGTCTTGGTTACTTTGCTTTCATTACTGAGACAAAATACCCAATACCCAAAATTAAGGAAGAAAAGATTCATTTAGTTCACAGTTTAAGGAGGTTTCAGTGTGTAATCAGTTGGCTCTAAGGCAGGGTGGCATGGTGAGGGGGAACAGTTCAAGGCAGCAGAAGACAAAAAAAGCAACAAGAGAAAAGTAACCAAGACAAAATGTGGTACCAGGAGTGCTGTCATTGCTCTGACTATACCTAACCATGTGGTTCAAGAGTCTTTGGGAATGGCTTTGTGGGAAGTGTTTGGAACAGTTTGGCAATATTGCCTGAAAGAGTAGTACTGGAGTGACTTAGGCTGTTCTGTATGGGAGATTCTCGTCAGAGTTCAGAAGACAAGAAGGCTGGTAGAAATCCTGCTGGTAAAGACAAGGTTCAGGAGGTTTCCAATGGGAAGAAGGACTGCATTGGTTATTGGACTCCAGATGATGTGTGTTATGGCTTGGCAGAAAGTTTGTCTGCATTTTGCTCCTGTCTAGAGACTTTGCCTGTGAGTGAAATTAAGGGCAGCAGATTAATTAAACTGTTAGATGAAATTTCAAGGCAGTCAAATGTAGAGGTGGTGGCATGACTACTGTTGGGAGATTTTAGCCAGATTTATGTTGCAAATTAAGAGCAAAGAGATTGATTTAAAATGATTTAAAATATTGAGAGTTTGGCCAAAAAGAAAGCAGATGTACTAAATGTCTTTGCATAAAAGAATGTGCATGAGTCTTTAGGGGACCAGGGGCAGAATGTTATGGTTCTAATGTAATATAATGTTGACAGACTTAATATTGGTTCTTAAGGATTATTAATCCTGTGCTATAATGTTCAAGTTATGAACTGACAAGAATAAGAATGTCTTTGTATCTGGAAAATGATTTAAAGAAATGTCTGACTGCCAAGTTGACAAGGAGTGGATTGAAATGGTTGATATACTGTGTCAACATAAGAAGTTTAACTAAGTGACTCAGCAGGGGGCCGGGGTTCTCACTTCTTAAACATCCTCATCATGTGCAAGAGGAGGGCCTGAAGTTGGTGTGAGTGCTACCCTACAGGGGATAGCTTGCTTCCAATATAAGGGAGGAAAAGCTTTGCCCCTCCCTTTTGCTGCTTTTGCTGTCTTCTGCCACTGTTGCCCTGTACCATGCCACCAGTTTTGGAGTCTCTGATTATGGTCTCAAAGCTCCACAAACTATGAGCTAAATAAACCTTACCTTCTTTAATTTTGGGTGTCACGTGTTTTGTCTCAGGAATTAGAAAAAGTAACCAAGACAAGGAGCTACAGAATTTAGCAATTGTCCTGCTGGGTTTTGGTCTTGCTTTGGTAGAATTCCCTTCTATCTCCCTATTTCTCCTTTTTGGAATGGAATATTTACCTGATGCCATTGTATGTTCAAAATGTTTGCCTTTCTTTATGATTTTTACAGGGGCAACATAGAGGTTGCCTTGAATCTCAGGGGAGACTTTGGACTTGGACTTTTCAGCACTGCTGGAACTATTAAAATTTTGGCAACTTTTTAGATGAACTAAAGGCATTTTGTATAAAGAGATGCACATGAGTCTTTTGGTGGCTGGGCAGAATGTTATGGTTTAGATCTGAAGTGTCCCTCAAAAGCCTCATATGTTTGGATGATGAATGGATCATGGTGTTATACTGAATGTGTTAAATGTGCTGTTATAAGGTAGGGCCTGATTGGAAGAATACTAAGAGAATGACTTGGAAATGTACATCTCCTTCCTGGCTTCTCCTCCTCTTCTTCCTCCTCCTCCTCCTCCTCCTTTCCTTCTCCTCCTTCTTCTTATTCTTCCTGGTTGCCATTCTGTGAGCAGCTTTCCTCCACGAGGCTCTTCTGACACATACTTTAACACTACAGCTAGCCGACTATGCATGAATGAGATCTGTGAAACTGTGAGCTAAAATAAATCTCTCCTTTATGGTGAAGGTGTGAAGTGTGCTTTCTAAATGATGAGAAAGTGACAAAGACATAAGACAAGCCTATCTGTTAGTTCTCCTCCTCAGTCTCCTCTGAAGGTTCCTTCCTCTCTTCTCCTCAACATTTAACCCCCAAGTAACACACTACCCATCTACACCATTCCCTTCTGATTCATCCAGTCCATGGCTTTAAGTACTACCTTTCTGCTTGCAATTCTCCTATTTATATCTCCAACCTGAGAAACACTCTTCAACAGCAGATTCACATATCCAATCACTTATTGAACATATTCAGTTAGATATTCAAACAGCATTCAAACTTTACCTAATGTTAAATTGTGAGTCTTCCTTCTCAACCTATTCCCTTCCATACTCTTCCTTATCTAATCAAATAACAAATTACTCTTTTAATTGCTTAAGCTAGTAATTTGGAATTACAGTGGTACCTTGATTTATGAACGCTTTTGTTTGTAAACAATCTGGTTCACAAACAGAAGTATTTGGCAAAATTTTGTTTTTGTTTACAAACTCTGCATCCGGTGACAAACATGACGGCAGTCATCTTGCCCATAGAAACACAAATGTGGCCATCTTTTCCAAAATTACAGAACAAATTAAGTTTGTGAACCAAAGTACTACTGCATTCTCCAATTCTTTGTTTTCTACCTCATACACAATTCATCACCAAATCCAAATTGGTTACACCTTGTCACTACCATCAGAATTTGACTACTTCTTACCTCTTTCTACGTTAACACCTTGTATCAAAGGATTCACATCTCTTATCTAAATTACTGGAATAATCTCCTAAGCCTAGAATTCATTTCCAAAAAGATCCCACTAAAAGGTAAGACATTTTGATCCTCTTCTGCTCAAAAATTTCCAATGGCTCCCATCTCACTCTCAGTGAAAACCAAAGGACTTCAACATTCTACAGAGTCTCACGTCATCTTTCCCCAGCACTGCTGTCTTCATTTCTTACTTCTCTTTCCATCACATACTTAACTTCAGCCATACTCCCTTCTTTGTTGTTCTTCAAATACATAGAGGCATGCCCCTGCCTCAGGGTCTGCGCACTTGTTGATCCCTGATGGCTTGTTCCCTCACTCCCTTTGGTGTGTTCTCAAATGTCACCCTATCAGCAAATCCTTTCCTAATAATTCTATATAAAATAACAACAGCCCTTCCTCTACTCTACCAACCATCCACTTCAAGCTCCCTTGTTTTACTTTCTCCACAGCTTTTATCATTGTTTCACATGGTAGCTGTTTACTCATCTAGCTCCATATTAGCTGTTCCCATCCCATCAAAAAAAAAATCTCCATGAAAACAGAGATTGGCTGGGCACTCATCTCTAACAGGGTCACAATTACTGGGTTGATGAATGAGTCAGTCAACTAATTTTGTAGAGCATACTCACTGTGTTCACTTTGCAGAATCTCTGCTGGATATAAAACTGCAAAAATAACACTAGAAAATTTTAAAATATGACTATGAATGTGAAGTTGTGCTGTCAATTTTCACTTAGCATTATTGGAGAAGACATTCTTCCCTGGACCCCCAATGACTGAAGTCTGCCAGTAGGCAAGAGCACTAACCTTTTGCTTAGTCGCTATTGAAAGATAGTTTATTTCTTATATTGAAAATGGAGACGAGAATAATCTAAATCTTAGAAAAGTGAAGACAGAATGGAATTTAAGAATAAATCCTTGAGCTAGCAAAAGAAGACAAGTTAAGACAAATGGATAAAGACATCCTTTATCTATGCTGAGGTGATGGATGAGCCACAAAGACAAGGTAGTAAGAGTCTGTTGTGTGCTTGGAACATTCAGGATTCTCAAGAACTATTTACTGGTGATCATCTGAAAGAACAAATAAAAGGGCAAGGAGAGTGACACTGGACTGGGAAAGAGAGGAAGAAATATAATACAAAAGGACTATTAAAAGGTATGGAGAAATCTCATTAACTCCGTTATGAAATTGCAGTTCCTTCAGAGACATGAAAAAGCAGCTCCCTTACTGGAAGGTTCACTGCCAGTGGAAACCCAACAGCCACTCTCTTCACAAGTTCAGAGATGTCATGGTAGTGTGTGGAGGCAGATCCATTATACTTCCTGTGGATTTCAAGCCATCCTTAATTAGATTAAAATCTACCTAATTTTTGGCATACTACCATCAACCATGGATATTTTCTAATCTTGATACAAAACATTCAAGATTATAGGTGGTTATTTGTTACATTTCTACCTTTATTTAAGCTTTAATTTTGTATATGTAGCACTAGTTTGGTTAGTTTTAACTTTGATAATTCTTAAGATTTCTTTTTTTAAGTTTTGTATAGGTGACAAACAATATAAACTCAGTATCAGTTATTTCACTTTCTAGTATTATCAGCAACTCTAGTAATAACATTATCATTGGTATATTTTTATGTGAAATATCCTGATCACTGGGCAAAAGTAAAATGGAGCTGGAGGCAAGAGTTGACTGGATTAAAAAAAAAGAAGGAGAAGAATTGAATGGATAATCCTACCTACCATAGGTGGACAGAATGAAGCAGTTAATTAACCAAACTGAAGTCACAGATATCTGATTAGAAGTACACTTACATCTGCCAGTTCCTTGATTTGCTTTGCTGACACATCAAATGTGTCCAATCTCTGAAGGCAAGGCAAATGATATAACACATGTGTAGAATAGTTACACAGCTGACAAACCGGGTTGGATTTATACTGAGAATCATTCAAACACAAGTCTTTTAAGGAAGGCAGCCTGGTTAAGTTAGTGAGGTCCTAAAACAACAGCAATGACAATGTTCAATTAATTGTGAGTGCTCATCTATAGAGGAGACGTTTGAACACTTAAAATCACCCATGGTCTAATATAATACATTGTAATTGCATACTTAAACACATTAATGTAGATGGTAAAATGCTTCCTTCTAGTAAAAGGCATATATTAAATTCCTAAAGAGAGGATCAACAATAATTAAATATCACATTCTACACAACTGTATGCTTTATACATGTACTAACCCATGCATTCCAGGTAGGCACAGAAGTTATTCCATCACTACTAGGATAGTATGTTTTTAGAGTGAAACGAAAAGTTAAAAATAAAAGTCTAGATAGGAAACTAGAAAGCAAACTCTTGAAGATGGGGAAGGGGACCAGAAAGTGGGGGAGAAAAGGAGAAAGGGTGAAGGACTGAAAATGATCAAGATACGTTATATGCATGTATCAAGCCCCCAAAATTAACATCACTCTTCTCTATTGCAAACATGTACTAATAAAAAATCTAGAACAATCTCAGATTTAAGTAAAAAGGTGAATGAGCCATGCAGGATAGAAGATTATGAAGGGGAAGAATATTCCAGCAAGTGCAAAGGCCAAAGTTGAGCATGTATTAGGTATATTCGGGAAACAGATTATTGTGACCAGAAGAGAATAAACAAAGGAGAGATGGTAGAAGCTGTGGTCAGAGTAACAGTGGAAAGGCGGGTAAGGTTGTGTTGAGTTTCATGAGCCATTATAAGAAGTATCTGTTACTGTGAGAGATGACAAGCTGAGGGAGGGCTGGAATAGAAGAACGATGTGATCTGACATATTTTAAAGGTCAAGCTGCTGTGTGAAGAACAGATTGAAAGAGAAAAAAAAAAAAAAACAGAGGGAGAGCTCATGGGGAGCTTTTCCCCCTTGGCAATGGAACCAGGTTGGTAGGGATGTGGTGCAGGGAATGGGCAGACTCTGGACATATTCTGAAGAGGGAGCCAACAGCATTTGCTGATGGACTGGATATGGAGATGAAGGGCTAAGAGGAGTCAAACACAGTTATGGCAGAAATGAAATGTCATTTAGAGAAGTGGGGAAGGCTGCAAAAGAAGAAGGTTTAGTGGAGGGAAAATCAGCTTGAGGTAGGACAGGAGACATATATGACTTTAAAGAGAAAGTACAGGTACTAAGTTGGAAGAAAACAGTAGATACAAGTCATATGATGTGATGAGATTTAGAGAATGAATGCACATAGAAATGAGAAAAGATCCCAGGACTGACTAGGGGTAGAAAATTTTTTAGATGCTAGCAGAGGGTGAGACTCCAAAACCTTATGAGATATAGGGAGAATGATGGGAAGAAAATTAGGAGAAAATGACACCCTATGAGCCTACTAAATATTTATTTGCTTGGTTTTAGTAGTGAAAGATCATTAAGGCTCAATTATTTGGCTCTCAAATTTCCTGAAGCAAACTGTATGTATACAAATATATATACCGTATGTATATGGTATGTATGTATCCAAAAATAATGATATTTTCCCTAAAAAGGGGACTGTGTCTTCAATAACATGGTTCATGATTCATGTTGATAAATGAAAATGAGTCATTCCACTTAAACATACCTTGAAAGAACATATTTGATTACCAGAAAGGTTTAATCTTTCCAGTTGTTCATTGGCATCAAGACATCGCCCTTTAATTGAAAAAATAAGATAAAAGAAAATTAAATTCTTTGTTGTACCTCTTGTTCATATCCTATGATAATTCTGAGTTATATATGGTCAATTCTTGCATATAAACAAGATTAATGGTGCCATTTATAATTACGAAGCACTGTTGAACAGATATCATCACATCCTATAATCATAGGTTTAGAAATGCTTTGCAAAGATGACATACAAATAATCTAAAGACAGCTAAGTATATATTTTTCATACTGATAAAAATGATTGTAGTATTATCTCAGATTTCAAATGATACAGTACATACCAATTCTGCTTATCATATTTCCTGCAAGGTTGAGATCATTTAAATTCTTCAAAGTCTGCAAGCCCTAAAAATTTAGACGACATACCATGTACAAAAGAGTGATTAAAACATACATTTACATGGCATCTTGGATCAATCTGGTTAGTAGAGGGGCTGTGAGCATGAGTGCTGTGTGCCTCGCAAGCACAGAAGGCAGTATGTACTGAGTAAAGCTATCTTTTATTTCTCCCAGCTGGAATCTCCAGTTATTGAAGAAGGGGAGCACAGAGGAGAAGAGGAACAGGTGGGGGGTGGAAGAAAAACACATCGCACAGATGTTTGTGATCTTAGGCAAGTATTTTAACTTTTCTGAACCTCTTTCTTAGAAATATCTTTGAAGAAGTAATAACAACACCTTACCTCTCAGGCCTGTGAGAAGGCAAGATGATGTATGTGAAGCTCCTGGTACATGATAAAATGCTATACACATGTTGTTTTTTTGACAGTAATAACTAGTCACCAATATTTTGGCCTTTTAACCAAATTATAATCTCAGATACTGTGATTTAAACACACAGTAATAAATAGCTTTATATACAAGTCATTGAAATGATCTTACCTCAATATTTTTAATAGTATTATGGTTCAGCCAAAGAACCTCCAATCTGGTTAATTTCTCCAAATTTTCAATTTTGGAAATTTTATTATAATATAAATATAGTTTTTTCAAATTTCTACATTGTTGAAGACCTCCAATTTTCTATTTTAATAAAAGAGATTTAATAGTGTTAGCTTATATTTTGTCACTAACCCTTCTAATAAAGTTGGTTTCTAAGTACATTTTCTTTTAAATATTACATTTCATTGCAAAATCAATACCCAGCAAAATGTGCTAATATTTTTAGAGGGAATATATAATCCCTCCACCCCAAAATACAACTATATTTAATTTTACATATTTTCTTTAAATTTTAATCAACTCTATTTTATATATATAATCAGAACATGTAAAATATTTTTGATTTTTTTAAAAACTTAAGACTATATTTTCATGACCTTTCAAATTATAATACATAATATTTACAAAGTATTTCATAAAGCTGATAATTTTCTTTAAAATAATACTGAGTGAGCCCAGAAGGCTGCCACCATTGCAGTCTGTGTCTCTGTCCTCCGTGTGCCCGGGACACACAGGAGACTGTCTCAAGGGACCCACAAACCCACTAACACCAGGGTTTGTGAGGGGCACCCCGTGCATGCCCAGAGACATGTGAAGCTCCAGAGCAGGTGGCCCAGGAAACTGCTGAAGCCATGATATGCAGCTGGGTTCTACGGTTTGCACCTGGGCGGGCGTGTGGAAGCAGGTGGATTCTGCTCTCTGCCAGCATAGCCTGTGTGTGGGGCCTGTGCATGCTGCAAATGGCCAGCAGGCACAGAATCAGGAGGCCAATGATCCGCTCACACCACAGTTCACAGCTGAACACCATGAGAACCAGGTAGTGCCCCCATCTACTTCCTGGGAACAGAGCAGGCATCCTATAAGGCTGCCACCATTGCAGTCTGTGTCTCTGCCCTCCATGCACCCGGGACACACAGGAGACTGTCTCAAGGGATCCACAAACCCGCTAACACTGGGTTTGTGAGGGGCACCCCCATGCATGTCCAGGGACATGTGAAGCCCCAGAAAAAGTCCATGAAACTGCTGAAGCCATGATTCGTGTCTGGGCTCCAGAGTTTGTGTCTGCGCAGGAGCACAGAAACAAGCAGTCTGTGATCACTGCCAGCGCAGCCCACCTCTGGCTCCTGTGCTTGCAGTGAAAGGCCTGCAGACACAGAATCAGGCAGTCCACACACTGCAAACCCTGCAGTCCATGTCTGGGCTCTACAATCACCCTGAACTTCCGGGAGTCACGGGACCAAGTGATCTGTGAACATGCCACCAGTGCAGACCACTTCTGGTTCATACTTGTGCCCTGAGCTAATAGGGGACACTGGATCAGATTGTCTGTGACCTGACAACATTGTGATTGGTGTCTGAGACCTGGGAGAACTAGGTAAACTTCACCATCTGCTGGAAGAACCCAGACTAAGCAGCACACCCCAGTGGCCACTGTGGGGCAAGTTTGACCACCAGGAAAATTAGGGAGGTTAGTGATCTTTTCTGGGCTGACAGGGAAGAAAGGGACCGAGCACTTTACTACCAACATCAAACATGACAAAAGACTAAAATGCAATCTCAGAACTCCATTCCTCTCAGAACAAGTCCAGGAGAGACTGACATAGGAGAACTTGGTAAACACACTCCTGAAATTGCTGAAATGATTACAATAGAAATGAAGAAACAACTCCATCAAGCCATAGAAGTGATCAGATCAGAAATAATCACTCAGGTAAAAAATGAAACAACAATAATAATGAAAGAATTGCTCTACACATCTAAAGAAGAAACATATAAAAAATAGATGAACAGAGACAATGGACAGAAACATTAAATGAAAAATACAGAAATGAATTACAACACATGAAGCAGATTCAAAGAGATATCCAGGAAATCAAAGCCTCCATTGAAAGCTGCTAAAATTGCTTGAATGAAGCTGAAGATAGAATTTCAGATTTTCAAGACAGCATGGCAGCTAGCAATCGTGAAAGAAAGGATCTCTTAAAATCAACAAGGAACTGGGAAAAACCAATTCAACAGCTGCAAGACGAGGCAAAGAGAAACAATGTATGACTGACAGGACTCAATGAAACAGCAGGAGGCAACACAACTGACATAAAAAGAATAGTTACAGAAATAATAGCAGAAAATTTCCCAAGCATGGAAACAGAACCTGACATACACATAAATGAGGCATATAGAACTCCAACTGACCATAACCAAAATAAAACTACACACTGCCATACAATAGTCAAGATCCCAGATCTCCAGCAAAAGAACAGAACATTAAAAGCTGCTAGAGAAAAGAAACAGATTACCTATAAAGGAAAGCCCACCAGAATCACAGCAGACTTCTCAGCACAAACCATCCAATTGAGAAGAACTTGGAGTGAAGTACTACAGGTCCTGAGAGAAAACAGTCTCCAACCAAGACTGATATACCCTGCCAAACTTTCCTTCAAATTCAGAGAGAAATAAAATATTTCCACGACAAAGAACAACTGAAGAACTTCATGAGTGCCAAATCATTGCAGCAAAGAGTACTATAAGATATTCTAGACAGAGAAAAACATGACTGCAATTTCAAGAACAGCAATAGAAAGGAACCCTCAAGAAGAGCAAGCAATTAACAGGTAGAAACAGGTAGAAAAAGTAGGAAACCAAGAGCAAGTAAATAACATGACAATGCTAAGTGAACACATATCAGTTATAACCATAAATGTAAATGGACTAAATGCACCAGTCAAAAGAAACAGACTGGCAGAGTGGATTAAGAAACAAAATAAAATGATATGCTATATAAAGGAAACACATTTTACTCAAAAGGAAATCCATAGACTGAAAGTCAAAGGATGGAAAACAACCCTCCATGCAAGAGGAATCCAGATAAAAGCAGGTGGAGCTATTATGTTTGTAGACAATGTAAACTTCAAATGAACAACAATCAAAAGAGATAAAGAAGGTCACTACATACTTGTGAGGGGAAAACTGCAAGAGGATGAGATAACAATCACAAACATGTATGCACCAAATATTGGAGCACCAAACTATATAAGACAAATCTTAACAGACATGAAAACTCATACAATTAATAACACTATTGTAATAGGGGACCTCAATACCCCATTGACACAAAGAAATTGGTCAACTGGACAAAAAATCAGCAAGGATATAACAGAGCTGAACCAAAGCTGTGAACAAATGGACTTAGTAGATGTATACAGAGTATCCCACCCCACCACATCAGGATACATATTTTTCTCAGCTGCACATGGGACTTTCTTGAAAACAGACCACATTCTAGCCCACAGAGCATAACTACCTAAATGCAAAAGAAATGAAATTATCCCGTGCATATTATCTGACCACAGTGCAATGAGACTGGAAATTAATGACAAAAGGAACTCCAAAAACTCCATAAACACTTGGAAATTAAACAACAACCTCGTGAACAACCAATGGGTCACAGAAGA